ATAATCACCCATGTCTCTGCTGACTTAAACCTACTCCTCTGGTTTGCAATGACCAATCAACAGTTTCTTTCTTTAAGCCTACTGCTTTTAGGAACTGATTGTACAGCTGAAATGCACAACTGGGACTGCTTGGCACTGCACGCTGTGTTTTGGCCCACATACCATGACTGTGCTATAAGAAGCAAAGGTGTTCTGCAAAAGAATTTCATTAACACAGTGCTGTGAAATCTTCACTTCTAGTGTCAAGAAGTCAATATGACATTATATCTTGAGAAAACAAATATCTGCCATGAGTGATCATGACTGACAGATGAAACTCAAACTCCACTATATAATCATTACTTCCTTCTCCCCAAGAAGAGGTAAAGAGAACATGTTTTTTTCCACTCCCCACCTTCATGCTCATGAAAAGGGTACAACATCATAAAAGAAGTTGCTTCTTCAAAACTGTAAGTCCAGGAAGTAGAAAGGATGAAGATGGTATTGTTATTTTGCCTAAGTGCAGCAGTTCACTGTTAGGAAAAAGTAAAGCATGAAAGCTGTTTAAAGAGACAACTATAAGAAAGAAACAGGATGTTCATTCTTCATCTTCAATGTCAGAAATGTTATAAAACAAAATCAATACATTTTTTTAAACTATTTTAAATGCTTTTTTTTAAATAAGTAAGCAAATTGAAGTGTTTCTTTGCACAACACACTTCTCATTGCATGAAAGTTAAGACACTTCTTACCTTTTCCTGAACTTTACCTTAGTTACAGAGTTTCCCTACCTAAGCCTCCAGCTACACTGCGAAACAGAATTATTGCCCAGAAATCTGGGCTTGACCAAACAGTTTGGCAGAAGATTGATAAAAGGAATTAAAGGCAAATGCTAAGTTTCCATTCCTGTCATCCTGTGCCCAATCAGAGACTGAGTCCTCAAATGTAATTTATAGAAAACTAAGAAATTATGCAAGTTGTATTGGCTGGAGATCACCACAGAACTGGATTCCAGCATCCTTACTTCTTTCTCACCTGAAAGTTCTCTGTGTAATGGACAGGCTAAAAAGAGATGACACAAAGCTCCAATGCCAGCCCTGTGTCATACTTCATTGCTTCAGGATTTCCAATGTTATCTCTTCTGTAAGGGTGGGTTTTACCTCCATGCAGCAAATAAGAACCACCAAAATAAGAATCAAAACTTATCTTTAGAATAATTTTAATGGAAATTAAACTGTATACCATGGAAAGAACTGCTATAATACAAGTTTGTGAGGAGAGAGGGAACAAAAGAGAAAAGCCAATACAAAATTGGAAATTAAGATTTCAGCCTAGAATAACACCTCATCTCCTGTTGGGTTAGAGTGTGGTAGACAGCACACAAACTGAGCTGAGTTTGAAGAAGGGATTAAGGGGGCAGGCAGTAGTTGGCATTGCAGTTTGGGGTATGTGCTTCACACAGATGTGAAACCACAGAAGACAATACTGAAGGCCCTTAAAACTATGTCACTGAAACCTCAAGTTAATAAAAAAATTCTGTCTTCAAGGGCTGTAACAGATGGGAACAACTTTAAAGCTGGCACATTCTGTTTTATGACAAGGGAAACTCCATTGTTTAAAACACCACTGAGCTAGAAACTCTATGCATCAACACAGCTCTATCCAGAACACAGACTTATTTAATGCTACAGTTTTATGTTACAGCTTGTAACATTCAGCTGTGGACTGCAAAATCATATGTAGTGTACTAAGGTAGAAAATAAATAGCTAATTAAGAAAAATGGTCTTTTACTAACAAAATTTTTCATTTTGCTTAGCCAAGTTTTCCTCCGTGACTTTATTAAAAACCAAAAAGACTAAAGCTTAGTTTGCTGAAGACAGTATAAAGATTTATTTTCCTGAAGCATCTTTCAAGGGAAGTTTTACAAGTTGGTAATTCTTTGAAAGTTCTGATGGTTTTGACTTTACCTGAATAACCACAGTAAAACACTGACTAATACTGAGAACCATGAAAATTATCCTTCATGATAAATATGAATTTGTATGGGCTATTAAAGAATAAAGTGACCTAACAGATCAAAAGATTAAATTTCCCACATCTCTTTGTACCCCTCCCAACTTTCAACCTGCCAGCAGACAGTACATAGTGTATACCACTGAAACCTATGCTTTGGGCTAACAGACTGTTGGTATTCTGGATACTGGTTTGAACCCATCCAGCTCTTGCCTGGAAAATTCATCTCCACTGTCTCCTGTCACAAGGAGGAAAAAAAAATAGCTAAGCAATGAGATAGCTAGAGAATACAGTGTCAGTCTTGATTACTGCCACAGTTCTCAAAATTTCCCTAATTTCAAAACCATGCAAAAATTTTCATATCCTTTTTTAAATCCAAAAACTCTTTATTCAAATACCAAACAAAGTATTATCAACTGAACTGGCTTAATTTCCTTCTGAAATGCTGGCATAAAGAACACTGGAAAACCACAGAAATGCAAAATTTTACTTGAGAAAAAGCAAATTATAACCAAATAAATGATAACACAGTACAATGAGCTGTGCACCTGAAATTCAGTATTTTTAAAGCTAGTGGATCTGTGAAAACAGAGGATTAGAATCCTCTAACATGAATATGCTCTGAGGATAAAAACAAAGTGGAGATTAATTTATTCTCCCTCTTCACAAGGATCTATCATGCTTGCCTTCTGCACACCAGAGCCTAGCATAGCTTTGCAGCTGTACAAATTATTTTTTTCTGTTCTCTTAACAGGCATTCCAATTTTTTATTTGTTCTGTATTATTATGTAACAGCAGGGATAATGATGCTCCACCCTTTGACCATGAAAGGAAGAAAGCATAATTCATTTACCTGGGAAAATAGAAAGGACAGCCAACTGTAATTAAATGCAACCAATCAGGCCTAATTAAAGGAGACGAGACCAAACTGTAGTGTACCCTTTTACCGTCAAGTTTAGGTGAACAGCTATAAAAGAAACAAATAAGGCCTACTCCTGTGAGGTTTGTCAAGCAGCATTTCATCTAACACACTTCAATATGATATGGATTAAGAAGAAAAGGACTGCTCTAAGGCCTCAGAGCCACAAGTCTGTAATTCCATTTAAGGATATCATTATTAAAGCACATTTATGGAAGAGAAAAGGACAAAATAATCACCTAAAATCCATTTCAAACTTATGCTTTATTTTTACTTAATTATGTCAACACGTCAGAGCTAAAACTAAAATAAAAGGTAAAATGGTCTTTCCTGAGAAGTTCACAATTTAAGTAGGTGAGATGGAAAAAACATAAGATAAAGGAAGATATTCTCTCCTTGATAACAAGAAAATGAAGCACACTCCAAGATCATGGGGAAATAAATTAATTTAACTAAAAACTGAAACAAAATTTCTTGAACTACCCCTCCTTTGTGATGTTACATTTCAGGTTTATTGTAAGATAATCACAATAGGCAATAGCAACTCCCAGAAAACTGTCATCAAATGGGATGGAAGTGAAAATACTCTAAATTCCTATAGAATCACACCAAAGCAGCAATTCGCTAAAGACAGCTCAATGCAAAGAACTCAAAGTCTGTATTAACCAATGCCCTTCTCACAGTACTGTATGTATCACTGCTCCAGATATACTTACTGTCTGACACTCATATGAACAGATAAGCTAAGTGAAGCTCAAAAAAAGAATTATTTAACCCAGGATATATCTAGAGTTTCTTTAACAAAAGCATAAGCAAGCATACAAGACTGCTTTTGGTAAGAATCTGTTCAGCATCCACAAAGCACTGTAATAAGGTTTGGCTGTATCTTGTAGCATAAGATTAAGCCCAGTAATGTAGTTTTTATATTCACTACAGAGAGTGTTTCAGCATGCACAACACATTGCATGTCATTTCAGCAGAACATGCACTCTGTGTTGAAGTAGTCTGGGTCCAATTCAAAGATATGGAACAATGAAAAGAAACAGCTCAAACATATGCAATTTTATATCATAATTTTACGATACTCATTTTCATGAGACACTTGTTTTTTCTCCCTTTATTCACTGAAATGGCCTTAAATTGAAAATCAAGATGAAGTGTAAAATGTTCTTTTCTCCAATGGTCAGAGCATTCTACCTAATAGATACAGAAAGTTAGTCAGCATCACATGACACAACTGATTTTTCCTCTCAGATTATCGCTGATAATTGAACTGCTCCAAACAGCAAGGGGTATAGAACTCTATTTCATACAAAGTGATTATTAATTGTCATATCATTTCAAAGTATCATTTGTTAACTAAGATAACTGAAAAAATTATTTTTTTCATAGCCTCTTAAAATTTAATAAAGAACAGCCACCTTTCTCCTAGTACTTGAATGTCTATAATCAAGACCTTTTGCCAAGCTCTTTTACTTTTGTTTTGCCATCTGGCAGATACTGTTGGGCATTTAGAGCCATAATCATTTGACCACATTGGAAAATCCACAGTAAAAAGTTTCTGTATAATCATAGCCATGCTGGAAAACATGAAACAGAACAGTGACAATACTCATGTTGCTTTCCTTGCAGTTCATTTCCAGAATCTTTTCAAACACATTGCTTTCTTGCAGGATTATAATACCATGTATTAGGCAGAAGCTGGTAACATTTGGAACGATAGAGAACTTTTGCTTAATACAAATGCCAAAATAAATAAAGAAAAAATAATGGGCATGTTGCTGGAAAAAGCTGTAAGGCTTTTCAATTTTTTAATTAAAAAAAATTGCATACCAGAAAATGTTAATGAGCTGAAAGTCCCCTGAGTTCACTTCTACACATTCTGTGCTATTTTGATGCCCCTGCTAAAGAAAACTGTTCTCACTCAGAACTGAAGGCATTCTTTTTTCAGTGCCAGCAAAATCTGAAATCTAAAGGTATCTAATTTGTTGTGTTACTTTACTCACTTTAAGCTGCTCAGTTATCAAACTGGAAGTAGAGAAGACAAGATGATCACAAGTCACACAGTAAGGAAGAATTCAGCAATACCTTTAACTTCTTCATAAATGCTATCATCTGTCAGTTCACTGCTCACTTGTCCAACATCGTCATATTCCTCTTCCTCCTCCTCAGGAATAGTATTAGATCCTGTATCTATGTAACATCAGTTTAAAAAGTTAACATTTAGTGGAAAAGAATGCCTTAGAAGAAATTTATTCAAAATAAGAACAATTCTTCCATGACCTGCTCCTTCCAATACATTCTGCTTATGTTTTTTTTATGCCATTCAAGGTATAAGAAAGATTCCATATGAAGGAGACTGTATACGGGAGAGCTTTCAAGCTAAATAATATTCTGGGAGAAAAGCAAAAATCTTGAAAAAAGAGAAAAGTCATATAAAAGCTGTAACACAATTGAAAACTAGGACTTGCTACTCAAAACTTGGCCATGTGGGAATTCTACATGTACCTAACATGATAGATACGTAAATGGACAGAACTACTGTCACTAAGCAATTGTATTGGCAATAAAGGCAACTCCTCTACTGGCTGGCTTACCTTGAATTACAAATTTGACTTGCTGTACCCATTCCTCTGCTTCTTTGGGAGTGGCAGCTGTAAACTATTAAATGTTTATTAATAACTACCAGCAGTAATGACAAAAACACAACTAAAATTTCATTAGCAATAAAAAAGAGGGAATGTAACATTCCCGTCACTTCCTCAAGAAACCATTAGCAATTCTTTTCATGTCTTCTGGTACTTTTCTTGCAAGGATGCTTCTTATAATGTACAGCTAATTTTGACAAATTTACGTAATTGAAGGAGAGGATGATGGATTTGAAACTCTGATCAGCAGCTGGCAGCTGTGCAGAAAAAAGCTGCTTCTCTTCATCAATGTCAAAGCCAGAACTGATGAACAAAATTTGCCCTTGACAATTAGAAGACACCCATGAATTTCTTTAGACTGCTGGGTACAGTTTTCTTAAAAATGTTCTTGTCAGACTCCAACACACTACCTGACAGCTTAATTAACTGGCTTTCAACCGCAATCTCAGATATTTAAAACTTATTAAACTTACATTCCATATTGATGTCTGGCTGATAGATCTCTGAATTGCACAGCTGATATGTGTCTTTTTGTAGGTTTTCCTTGAAAAGCCATGACCAATACAATATGTATTTAACACTGATACATATTTAGCTTTTTTTTACTATTTAATTCATTCAAGAAATCACACACACTATACAAGAGATATTAAAAAGCTGATATTGAAATGACCAATAGATAAAGATGATAGATTTCCTTGCTCTTGACCAAAAAGATAATATTTGAACATGTACATACATATGTTTAATCAGATTTTTTTTCCTAATATATGAATATACAATATAAGCAAGCAGGGGTTTCCTTTTTTCATTAAGATATCAGTGACAGTTGTTTCACTGAAATGTTAATTCAGTAACTGGAATTGTAACAGCTTTGTCAATTAAATTTCAAGTCAACATAAAAAAGTCCAACCTGATAAATGCGCTTATCTGGAGCAGAGATTTCAAAACAACAATCTTTCTTTGCATCCTTCCGAAGGGTATTATTCATTCTGATGGTGTAGCCCTCTAAGGCAAATTCACCTTTCTGTTGTTTGTCTGTTGGAGATAAAAAACAAAGTTAGTGCTTCATTTACAACAGTGAATGTAAGTGGCTCAGCAGGTTATCGTTTATTCAGATTTTTTTTCTATTTCATGAATTTTACAAAGAACAGGGAGGTTTTTAGCAAAATGATTAAGTGATGCTTCTGGAGATAAAGCTTTATTTTAAGGGAAGATGTACCCAAAAGTACATTGTTCTGTAGGATGCCTAAGGAATTCCACAGGGGGATGTTTGCAGATGGTGGTCTTATTTAGCAAGAAGTGCATGTTATGACACTTGTATCTAGGGAAAGCCAAGAACTGGAACTTGCAAGACACGTTTCCTATAAATCAGTGTCTCTTTCAGGTTCAGTAAACCAATGGGAAAACCTGTCTAGCTAAGAACTTGCTGAGCTCCCTCCTAAACTAACCACTTCACTCAAAAAATAAACTTCAAGCTTCTTTTTAAGCAATTGGAAAAGCTGCTTTTCACATTCTCCCACCCACTCCCAGATGTGCCTCCTTTCAACATGGCAAAAATACAGAATGAATTTTGTTATAAATTCAGGTGTGTGCGTCTGTGTTCATTCCAAAAGCATTTCTCTCAAAAAACAGCAAATGTTTAATTAGCTAATAAAAGTACTGAGCCCTACCACAGTTTATTAGGTACAGCCATGTGGTTGTTTTAAAGACAATTCTACTTTTCAAAGGTTCTGGTTTATAAAAGTATCACTTACAACAGATACAGCTTTAACTACACTGCATGTTGTGCAAGCAGCACCTGCGCACTCCTTTCGAGCCCTTCAAACCAAATTCTACATCGGATTTTATGTGCTCCAGCATATTTGGTGAATATTAAAAACAAACTAAAAATGTAAAAGTAATTAAGTTTTGCAATTGCTGCAGATCACAGTGCAGCATTCAAGTGAAGACTGGCATCACAGTTCACATTTTGCACAGGCAAACAAAGAACGAAGTGCGTATCAAAATCATGCCATTTAGTGTGGGGTTTTTTTACATAGAAAAGCATTAATTAACAATAAGCATCAGGCACAGCAGAAAAACTGCTTTAAGTATTGCAGAATAGAACATAGGTGCAAATTCAGCAGCCATTGCTTACATTTGTCAACAGAAGGAGAAAACTTCTACAGTAGATAAAATAGGAAAACTATCGTCTTCCAACAAGTTTTCGTCATATTTCTGGAAATTTAATAGGAAAGAAAATCTGTTTCCATTCCTGAGAGGGTAAAAATTGGCTAGCACAGCAATGTGAACATTAATGGACATAAGGGCAGTCACCAGTCAAATACTCTTTTTAGTAATCTTATATGCACATAGACACATATTCTCTGTCCTTTCTCCTTTTTATGAACTCTCACCCAGGGCAAGCAAATACCCAATAACACAATTATATAAGAAAATCTAGGGCACTATTCTATTTTCACTTCTGGTCCCTTCCCCCATGGTAAGTTTAATTCTGTCTTAAATAACTATTAATAATATAGTACTAATATTTTATATTTGCTCAATCCTCCACCCCTATTTCAAACAGCACACACATGCAAAATTCATGAAATCACACCAAGGTAGGTATTAGAAATAATAACTTGCAATAGGCTAACTAGGTTCCTTTTAATGAAATTCTTTTCTGCCTAGGACTGTTATTGTTCCCTCACTTGTGACCTCAGGGAGAAGATGAAGTGAAACACATTAATTTCTAACTCTCCCGTGCTGGAGGTTTATCAAAACCCTAGAAGATAGGAGCATGCAGGCAGAATAAACAAACATCAAGTTCAAAAGGTAAAAACATTTTGTCAAGATAAAAATGAGGCAAGTATTCAAATTTACTCTCTTGGATTATTTCTGAGACTGCTTCTCTGTGACATGGATGATCCCTTTTATGGTAATACACTTTTACAGAGCTAATCTAGAATGATCTTTGCACTGGTACTCGTTCTTTCAAAGAGCATTGCAGTTAAACCGCAAAGACGCTGCACTTTGGAAGGGGATGGTGCATGGCATCATCCAAATATCCCATTTGATTGTTTTTCTGTTTATTCTGTTTTTGTCTTATCTCTCTGAACTCACTAGTTTGGTGCTAATGAAAATTACCTGTAATATATATATATATATATATATATATATATATACACATATACACATATCCTTTGCTATTATAGTCTTTCTGTGACCATTATAGCAATAGACTAGACTTAGCATTGCTACTTTTACTTCCAACTGTCTTAGCAGTAACCTCTGAATAACTAATATTCAGTAACCTGAATTAACTAGAATAAAGTCTAGTGTGGTGCAAGTGAGGAAATTCTAAGACAATGAGGTACTTCACAGCCCTGACTCAGAACCTGTTCAAGCTGAAAGGCTCAGTATGAATTCACACTCCCTGTGGCAGCAAGCCAGAGATAAGACCCAGTCTCTCCTGAGAAATGGCTCCACAATTACAGAATGGCAGAACACAGGTCAGCTATAGCTCAGCTGCCTGCCCTGATGGTGACAAACAATGGAGGTTTACAAATGCTATTTTCTCTTGAAGGATACACTTTTTCAGTTAGGACTGGAGACCAACCCCATCACCTGAGCACCATGGAGCAAACCGTGACCCACAGCAGGTGCTTGGCCAGGCAGAGGAGTCAGGAGCAGGCTTGAAGGCAGAGCCAACCTGGGATCATCAGACTCAACAATCACCTCGACTTCACTGCTTGGCACAGGCTTGCAGCTAAATGGGTTTGGACAGACCTGGGCATTTCGTTTCAAGATGCCCTGTGAATTTAGGGCCACAGCGACTCCTGTGGACTTTCACATCATGAGTTATTTTCTGGAGACTGTGCTTTAGGGAGAATTAAACAGCTTCTGATATTTAAAAGCTTTGAAGAGGTAAGATTTTACTTGGAGACTTAAAATTAGATACTGTTAGTTTTTATAGCAGGAGTCAACAGTAGCTTCAAGAAGCACATTTACATTACAGGTATTGAACTTTAATTTTGGATTCCCAAATCATAGCCAGAGTTTTGTTGAAGGAATACTAGGGAGATATATGCTGATGGAACACACTTCTCTGAAGGACAATAACATTTTTTGCTGTCTTTTATTTTCTCAAGATAGAGTTTTTCTATTCAACAACAGGAAATCCTTAAGCTGTCCCAGAAAAACATAAAACAGAAATGCAAAAAGTGTAGTATCAGTCTCGTAAAAATAAAAAGGATTGTGAACATCATCAAGCTTAAGTTGTCCCACAATGACGCCAAATCTCATTTCAGCATAAGCTGTCCTTTGCTCTCATCTGCTTATCCTCCTCCCTCCGCTTCTTCCCATGTCAGGCACAGAACAGAAAAATATATCCAGGTCTGTGTAGATCATTTTGCAACAGGAATTTAAAATCATAAAAAAGTAGTACAGCAGAGAGGAGAGTCAAGCACTAATTATAAGAAAAAAAAAATAAAAAACAAACCAAAGATAGTACACAGAAATTTAAGAGAAATAAATATGGGGGGCTGTATTTAACACAGAGAAAGTTCAGATCTGAATAAAATTTAAATATTTCTCTTACATATAAACTTCATTCATCCTAAAAAGAGTTAAAATTGTTAACAGAAACAGGGCCAATATTATATTGGGTAAAGAGAGTCTCAAGGGAAACAGAGAAAAAGCGTTTTGAAGTAACCTTGTGTAACTAAGTCCATGGGAACATTTGAAACAAAGAAGGGTAAACCTTCAATGAGATCTTGAAATTACTGCGTTGTAAATTTGAGGCCTAAGGCGATGTGCTTATATTATTAGCACATGCAAAAAGAATTAGTGCATTCTGAAGAAAAGAGAGGACTTGGATAGTAGAAAGGAAAGAAGTTACAGAGAAAGACATAAGGAACAAAGGCAAACAGAAAGATTTCAGAGAGTGATAAAGTATTTATAGATACTATTAGAATGTATAATTTAACTCTCTTCATCTTGAAATTAGGAGTCTGTACGATTTTACAGTTTACATGGCTTCATGCTAAATGTAGTTTCACATACTTTTCCATGTGCAGGATGTCTGCTATCTAAAAATAGTTCAGTGTAAGTATCTCCAAAACTGTAATTCCTTTTCCAGCTTTTGGAACTGTCTTTTCCAAATGCATGCACTGAAGTTCTTCCCTTCTCTAGACAGCAGATCTGAAATGTAATCATTTTCTTTTCTTCTCCTTCTTCTTTCCTTTAATCTAGTCCTCTGAGAAACTGGAATTGTGAAATAACTAAGAAATGGAGGCAGTGATTTAGGGCACTGAATTGTTTATATTCTGTTTGCTTATACCCAGCAGTTATTTTTTAAATAATGCATTATTAGCAGGAAGTGTGACTCTCAATGTCTGAATTTAACAGTCTCACAGCAGAAGATCCAGTACACATTAGATAGATGCCTTTGATTGCCATCACCCTGCTACAACAAAATCCTGTGGAGCATGTATGATTTGCTTTTCTGCCCAAATAGTAGTTCACCACTGGCCTGGTCATCACTATGTTATTATTCCAAGAAATCAAAAACTATCATGTCCAGTTAAAGCTAAAGAATTTTTTAAAAAAAAAATAAACTCGGGGCTTTTCTAAAAGCCTCTGAATTATACCCACCCCTCTTTAACATCATATTACTGGCAGGCAGGCAGATACCATTTTCAAGTTATAAAAATGAAAATAAATTTTTAGTGCCCATTAGCAGAGGAAAAATTACCATAATGTTATCAATTACTGTCTTGCTAAACATTTAGCTGATCTCTCCAGTTTGCTGAGACAGAAGGGCATATAACATTGTGGCCTAGTGAGAAAGAAGTAATGAAGCCATTAATTCAATCATTTATAAAGCAACAAATTAACTTTCCTTATTCACATGCACTTTGAGGTCTGGAAGGTTATCCATACCATCTCAGTGTCTGAGGACACAGGAACAGCCAGAGATCATATAGAAAAATGATAGGAGACCAGGGTACTCAATTCAGAGTGCATGGAAGGAAAGAAAAGAGAGGACTATAAAAGATTTATGGAAGGAAAGACTGCAAAAAGGGGCACCAGGCAAGCTTCTCAAAATCCCATCCAGCTCTGACATTTGAGCACACTCCTCTGCAATGCTGTGGGCTACGTGCTGGCAACGGATACCACAGCACAGGCATAAATACCCACGTGCTTCCCGCAATACCTATTTCTGACATGTGATTAGCTCAAACCTTTAAGCCTTGTTTCTCCATCGACTCCATTTATCAGTGATCAAAAGAAAAAATGTAGGTGATTCACTTAGATTTGTCCATACTGCAGGGATAAATTACGTTGCTTCACTACCCAATGCTACACCAAACGTAGGAGAAAACAGAAGAGAAGACAGGAAAACAAGACAAGTACTGGCCTGCAGGCATCACAACTGTTGAAAAGATGCTTGTAGTTGTTTAGGTGAACATACAGACAAACACACAGTCATTTACTGTATTTCACTGGCTTTATCTTACACTATATACTTCTGGACTAGGCCTCACATTTTTCATCATTTATCTTGGAGTAAATTATTCTGAAACTCTTCCTTACATGTTTGTGAGCTTTATACACTTCCACAATTCTTGCTTTTCCTATACAAAAAGGAGAAATTTAGAAGAACTAAAATTGTTTTGGAAACAACAAATCCATACAAATAATAAAAAGGCATCCTATAGCCGCATTTTTACCACTCAGTTACATTCCCACTGATAGACCTAAGTGTGAAAATCAAACTTAGGTCAACAAAAGACATATCACAGCAGACACAAAATAGCTTTCACAGATTACTCATCTATGGTCTGGTTTTAAAAACAGTCATAATTCAAAACAAGCCAAGATGGATGCAGAAATCCCTGCTGCCTCTCAGCATTACATCCCCCAACACAGAGGCATTAGTAGCCCATCACCCATTTAAAGTGATGTGGGCAGCAGGACTGAGTACATATGGAATCCTTGTCACTTTGAAACCCAGTTCACAATTTGCACAAAACCACCAAACACACGCTTCAGTGCTGTTCCACAGCTGGTAAGAGCACACTCTGAATTATACATGGTCCAAGTTATCTGGTACAGCATCAAGAGTCACAGTAAAAGAAGAACAGCACAACAGCATACTATGGCAGGTACCACTGCTGGCCTCAACAGTGGGAGTGAAAACAGCTGCAGGGAGTAAACGCCAGACCTGCTCAGGATTGCCTCATCGCACACCTCCTCCATGCTGACAATCTGCAGCAGAACAGAGTGATAAACTGCCGCACGTACGTTCACCAGCATTAGGCTGACAGCTCACGTTTAACAGCACACTAGCCTGCCACGGCTGGTGTCCAGTTGCTGCACAATGACAGTGAGCTGCTTCTGCACTGGAACAGGCACTTTCACATATGATGGCATCACAGGCCTGAAGAAAGGACCTCGGACCAGTCTAGAAGAAAACTTTTTTTATTCAAAGGCAACTTCAGGAGTGACTTAGTCACCCCATATTACAAGATTAGGTCAATACACCATGCTTAACTAGTTTTTCTGCACTACAAGCACCAATCCAATGGAGGTAGGGCAGAAGTTCATGCATTTGATTTGTTTGCTTCCTCCATGAATTTATGTTTGGAGTCCAACCGTGTCACACACTCTATGTGAAAGGAGGTCATAATGAGGTGGGGGTCAGTCTCTTTTTCAAAGTAGCAAGTGATAGAACAAGAAGAAGGAGCCTCGGGTTGTGCCAGGGAAGGCTTAGATTGGATATTAAGATTTTTTTTTTTTCACTGAAAGCATTGCAAAGTATTGGGACAGGCTACACAGAGAAGTGGTGGAGTCACCATCCCTGGAGGTATTTGTTACACATGTGAATGTGGCACTTAGAACAGGGTTTAGTGGTGGGCTTGTCAGTGCTGTGTTAATGACTGGACTCGATGATCTTAGAGGTCTTTTCCAACCTAAATGACTCTATGACTCAATACAATTCCAATGGACCATGTGACCCTCCCACACCATCAGGTTATGGATGGAAAGACCTTTCCCAAACAATCTGCAGCCTACAAAAGTTCTAAATGCATTAGCCAAAAAAGCTGTCTATAGATTCATAAAGGAAAGAGATCCTACAAAATATCACAGTCAATTCCTAACATGACACCACCATCTGAGTGCTAAGGAATGTATTTCTATGTATCTTACCTTTCAATTCAGATATTAAAAATTGCAACACAGACTTGATAATCAGGTTGTTGCAAAAGAAAAAAGACAAAGACCAGGTGGGCAACATGCCTGCCTTAATACAAAGACCATATGCTAGAAAGCATAAACAATCATTAGCACAGCCACAAGGAAAAGAATGTTAGAAAAAATCAAACCTTTTTTTTCCTAAAAAAATAGCTGACAAAAAGACAAGGATTTTATATTCAAGAACAATCCTTATGAACTAGCAATATATTGTGAAAAAAAACTGGGATTTTTAAAGTACTAGGCCACGTATAGCTATATACACATACACATATATATATATAATCTGAAAATTTTTGAATAAAGCTCTTTCATCTTTGTGAAGCCTGATCAACCTGTAAACCCCAAGGAAAGAGTGTAGAAGAAAAGGCAACATTTAGCAGACACACTAGCAAAACCCTGAAAAGAGGACATGATGGGAAACCAGCAAAATGAAAACTGGACTTACAATTAGACTTTTTATTTCTTGTGTTTTTAAAGAGAGGACGAACTTAAGTAAGTCAGTATACCAAGGGGTGAAACAAACTGGAGCAAATTATATTAGTCTTTGAATAAAAAAACCCCGACATAATAACTACCTGTGGTAATCTCAAAAATAAAACACCAACAATAATCTTCAATGAAAAAAAATCTTCAATAAAAAGTTTGCTCTGGATTTTTTTTTGGAGGGGGAGGAGGTTGGAGGGGGAAAGATGTTATTGTACTTTTAAAATTTACTCAAATATATATAGTTTAATTTACCCTTAAACATCAAATGCACATGGCACACCATTTAAATATGTTTTATTTTACTTTAAAATTTAAAAATTCAAAGTAATATTACAACATTTATGCCAGATTCTTTCCAACTGGCCATTTAAAGTTAAAGTCACCTTCAGAAGTTTGCCTTAGTTTCTATGTCTGGCTTTAGTTAAATACATTACTTAACTGCTAGATTTTCCAGAACATAAACTATCTAAAAAGAAAGAAAGAACTCCACTATGCAGCTTTTAGATTAATATTTTTCTGGATAGAAACATTTCTAAGGAACTCAGAAGGTCTAATTACTAGAGGATGTTTTCAAATTAATATCATTTTTGGAGAAAAAGAACATTTTCTATCTAGTAAAACAGTTGAGTACCAGCATACTATAAAACTGAACAGCCAGCTGTTATTAGCAAACAAAGTAGCTTTACAAGACACTTAATTTTTTTTCCTCAGTTTTCTTGCTTTAGAAAACATGTATATCATTTACAGGTTCTGAGAAATAAATACTTACACATTTTAAAAATTCACAGCACTGTCCAAGAATTTTTTTAAATAATTTTTCTTTTAAAGTTTCATTCCATTTCTTAAAATTACCTTTGATTCACAGTTTCCAACTTCAATAAATTTTTCATATTCTTTTGTGCATTAAAACAGCATTGCTTTCATAATTGTTTTAAGTACCTTTGTCGCTTCCATAGTAATAGAAGACTGTCTTGCTGATAGCACACCATCGCTTCTGCCATTCAAAGCCAAGAAAACTGTGGTCTGAAATTAATACAACATGTGTTATATCAGTTTATGCCATTATTGAACAAAAATGCGTTACTTCTTTTCAAGGGTGAGGTAAGAGGGAGGAGGGGCTAGGAAAAGATTAAGGAAAGGAAACTAAGGAAATGCATGGCACTGAGAAAGAAATTAGAAAGAAAATTGGTGGTAAGAAAACAAACAGGAATTTGAAATCACGTAAAGTGGGAAGTCATGTGTAACATTAAATATAAGGAAACAATGAACAACTTCCTAAATATTTCCTAGAGTTATCGCAGCATTAAGTGGGTATTAAAGTGACAATATAAGATTTATTGAATCAAGGTAAATATTGACTGAGGCAAAGCTGAGATCAATATTTGCCCTCTTGCAGGAAAATAAATCTTGATGCTCACTGAAACATGAAGTCAACATATGGTATTTGTACATACGTTCCTAATGTTTTCTTCAAAAATATCTGAAAGTCTCTAAATTATGGCTGACTGGACTTTCACAGCATGATTTTGTTAGTCAGTAAAGAAATAGGATTTTCTTTCAATACTATAGGAGCAATTATGTGCTATTTTTTTTTAATGTTTTGCATAATAACTCTCCAATGTTTCAGCTTCCTCTCATTTTATTTATCACTCCTGTATAAAGTTGTTCATGTGTATAACATCAAATACAGATATATAGACTTCCCAGATTTAAAATATGCACTAGCTTTCACTTACCTTTTCTACGTTTTTCCAGGTATCCAGACTTCAGAACAAACTGAAGATCCTGAGCTGCAACAGGAGGAAACTGATTCCCTGAAAGAAAAACAAATTCTGTAAAGCACTTCTTTTCAAGAAAACTGTTATAGGAGCATTAATAAAATTATGGATTTTACACTCTCGATATGCAAGAGCTACTGAAAAAAAAATTCTAGTAACTATTTTGCTAGATTACTTTAAGTAAATGAAACATCTACCAATCAATGTCAGAGCTATTGCTGTTGTCTTCACCACCTGAGTAAGGAAAAAAATAGCTGCATAACAGGCCTTGCAAGTATCAGAAAGAAAACTATGTCATTAAACAAAATACAGCAACTGTTTCAAACATAGTCTGTAAAGCAAGCTGGATAATGAAAGTGCTAAATTTTCAAATGTGCAAATAAGAGAATCACAATCAAGAATCTCAATTGAACACAAATCAGAAATGTGGTTTTCAATACCAGCTTCACACCAAAATACCTTGAAACAGCATACAAGGTGAAGACCCTCTATTACACATCTACAAAAAAAGAAGCCAGATGAAGAGACAATAGAAGCTGCTGCCTGTTGCTGACAGATTTTGCCTAATTTGCAATATAACACGAAACAACTGCCTAAAGGATCTGTAAGGTGATAATGGATAAACCAAAGGCATTGCACAGAGGTCAGCAAAACTGATGACCTACAGACCCTAATTTTAGACACATTGTACAACATGTCTGCATCTGCAAAATGGTGAGTACAGCTCACTGTATTTTTTCCATTTTCTCAACTGCTAATTCATAGAGGTGTAGGACTGACCAGTCGACCCCGCCTCATCTTAAAATACAACTTCAAATGTTAAAAATTGTGTCTTCCATCTTACAGCCTATTCCTCCTAAAACAACAGAATGATGATTTAAACAGAACTAGTATTAAAAACAAGAATATGTTAGATGTATAATATTTAATATGAATATAAGTATCATACTGCTTACTCCAAGCAAAAAGGCAGAACAAAAGATTGCTCCTTACTCCTGTGCTGCTGGGTGTTTTAAGTGCATGTAAGCAACACAATGAAGTTCCTACTACTTACTATCATCAAATATTCATAAGAGTCACTATAGGTAGGTGGCAAGTTTACAAGGCAGCCATTATTCATCAGAATATATGTAATCTTATTATGTTCTATCAATATAAACATACAGAAAAAGATTGATATTAGCAGACAAATTCTGTGCTAAAAACACCATTTTAAATTATGTAGTTTGGGTGAAAGATCAATGGTCTGACCTTGAACCAAGCACTGTCTCTGAAAGGTGATGTCAATTTCCTGTGTTTTTAGGTTATTCCTTAAAACAGATTTCTTTTTTTTTTTAATTCAGTGTTCACAAGTGAGTTGCTTTATGGTAGTCTTATTTAAATATATATATATATGATAGGAAAAAGACAAGAAAGAGATAGGAACATGCAGAGAATTTTGTTTTTTACAGCATGAAAATATTCAAAATGAGGAGACATTCTTTAGATAATACAACTGGCCCTTTAGACTGCAAAATATTTTGACACCAAAAGACAGTAGATAAAATTTTACTTAATTGATATTTCCACTTCCTATTTTTATTAATATTACTTTTTAAAGACTAGGAGTACTCTAATTTCTATTTTAGCTTCTACGGAATTCTGAGTATTGTGTTAAAAATACAAGAGCACAATCAACATGCATTTTAAAGTGATGCAGCTGTCCTCCCCTTGCTTGGTAATACGCAATCATAGCCCAACATTAAATGGGAATGAAACACAAAGAGACTTGATGGCTGGTATGTGATATGTTTAACAGTTACTTTAAAAGGTGATGTAATGATGGTATTACATGTGGGGGAGGTGAGGAGTTTTACAAATATGCATCGTGTGCTGCTTTATATTGGTCATTGGGAGGCATCAGTGTGCAACACTTAGAACTCTACCTCATCCACTAGGGCTCATCTTAGAACAGTGCAACCCCACAGATGAGGAAGACAAAACACCTAAGTAAACAAACAAACAAAAGCAGCTCACTCTTAAATTTCACAATTTACGAATTTCAACCGCCATTTAGATCTAACTTTACCCAATATTGTTTGTATTGATTTGGGTTTTGATGAGGAAGCTTGGCCAGTGATCATTTAGTGAACAGTCAAACCAGATGGGACAACACAGTCCCAGAGAAGCAGTGACTTTGGGGATTCCTTAGTGTTGGTATTCTGTCATCTGAACTGACTACTTCATAGTATCATCAAAGTGGAATCAAAATTCAACTCTCAATTTTGCTACTTCTGCTGAGGCAAGTCATGATAAATTTGGTGATGGCATTTTCTGAAACTACATTTATTTTGCACAGGGCACTCAAAGCTTATGAGAAAAAGAACATGTGTAGAAAAAGGGTGTTTGACTGCCTGGTGCCACTGCAGAAAGAAGTCCTCCTCCCACCCTTAACCTGTAGAGAAATCAGTTTCTTTTTCTATTTCTCAAAGCAACTGAGACAGTAACTCCAGAAAACAAACTGCACCTGGTCAGCCCCACTGCCACTCACAATCAGTAAGTAGCTGAAGCAGAAACAGATTAAATGCACGTTACTATCCTTCTGTCAGAGAAGCCTGGGAACAAAAAAATATGATGGAACTTTAGTCAAAGGGCAGTAGAAACAGACCCAGTTGTAATATCCCACAACACAAACAGCTGTATAAGAAAGAGAAAGCATAAATCTGGTTAAATTCCTTCTTTCGTTGCCCTGTACCTTCAGAAGAAAGGGGAGGGAGAATAAGTAGTATGAAAAGCATAAAGGAAAGAGAAAGAACCACCTCCTCCCAGATTCTCATGAACCACAGGTGTTGTGCATATGTAGCAGGAAGAAGGCACAAACATGGATATACCATTGTCCCAGTACTACAACAAAAACAACAGTGGGAGGAAAGAGGAGAGAGTCAGTCATATCTTCCTTAGAGTTACTACTGAGATTCTGCATAGGAAATTTCTAAGTTTTATTATCTAGCTTTATTCTTTTTTTTTCATTTCTTTACTGTTTTGACCACATCTCAGACAGGATTCAGAGCGAACTGCAATTGCTAGATGTGGGAACTCCCAGCAGAAAGTGTGGAATTAAAGTAGTAAGTTGGTTTTTGCAGTTGCTTTCAATCAGAATATTGCTTCTCCATTCATTTGAAATACATCAGGCTTGACACAAATCTCATAAAAAAATATCACTAAAGCAGTGCTTCATTATAGTGAAGCAGCATTTGCTTCCATTACACCAGCAGCTGAGATCAGAGGTTCATTAGTTGACTGCAGCATGAGACTTTGAATAAGACAGCTCCTTCTACAAAGAACCTAAGACGGAGGAATCCTGCCAAGAAGGCATTACCATGTATTTTAAGTAAAGAAGCATAAAGCAAATTAAGCCACATGCTTCAAATCACATACTTATTTAGAGCTCAGAATTTCCCATGTTATACTCCCATGCAGGCCCCAGGATGTCTTCAAGACAAGGAAGGATTTCTCCTTCCCTCATGGATGCAGGTGAAATGGCCTGAATTCCTGGGGATGCAGATAGCACCTATTAGTGCTACCTTTCTTGGGAGTTCTCAATGCCTGTTCATGAGAAACTTAAGGTCAAGCCTACTACAAGATGGGCACTACAAAAACAGAGCAAAACTTCTCTCTCAAAATGAGACTATCAAAGATCACCATGCCTTCCTAGCACTGTATAGTCTGTTTCCAGATATGATAAAATTATTTAGAAATAAAGATGTTTAAAGGAATTGTAGACTTCCCCAGTTTCTCCTTTGGTACACTGTAGTTTTTAATCCAATTTTAAATTTTAATCCAATTTTAAACACCCATGAGAAAAGTGCCATTGTGAGTAAGAAATGCTCTGTGGTTTGCAGGAGTATGGGTTTATACATAAAGACGCAATGATTGCTTTTGTTTACTCTTCCAGACCTAATTTCTGCTGTGTCATTGTCCTGACAGTGGTGGGCAAGCACAGAGTTGAGGATATAAAAAGGTCTCGTTTCCATTCCAGAGTTTCTACCTCAAAAATAATGTCTTGAACCTTATTCTTTTGATGTGAAGACCAGTTCAAAACTATCCAATATTTAGGGAGATGATAATCTTGCACATCCAATACATGGTATAAAATAAGGGAGGCCCATCTGCTTAATGTTATAGGTTTTCCTCCGTTCTTGACCACCCACTCACAAAAGAATCTCCCACAATAATTCATTTTCCCTGTTGGCGGGAATTACTCCAATATATTCCAAAATAAAATCTCCAAGTTATGCTCCACATGCATATTTTCAGATTCATGTGTACAAAAGCCATCAAAGACCAGATCAAAATATTTATGAGGCTTAAACCTTCATCTTAGAGAAAAGTAAATTATATGTATAATGCACTGGACTCTTCCTCTTGGTTCTAGGCACTCTTGTGCCAAGAGAGCAGCTGGCAGTTATTATAATACTATTGCTGCCAGGCTGAAAATTCCTCCAGTGAAAAGAAAGTGAAATGCTCTCACTCAAGCATAAAGCCAGTTTTACCAGTCACGCTTTGACTTTAGAAAAACATTAATGTTATTAACATAGGTGTATTAATGTATAGGTTCCACTGCACAACTCCCACAAACACAGAATATCTTGTGATTCAGAAAGATCTCAAAACCACAGTTTATGGCACGACTACAATTTTTGCAACTTGGTAATCAACCAGGCAAAAGCCTGAATGATTTAATTTTTCACCTTACTGCAACAGTGAATTTGGTCCATTATATAAAAACAAGTTTCATCAGTGTCACTTCACAGCATGAAATTCAATCCTTGTGCCTGGAATTTTGATTTTTGGAGGACCTAAAGATATAAAAATTTCATCCTGTATACAAAATAAATAAAACAAAACCAGACTGTATTATTCTGCACTGTTTACCAATAGAATTTTTTTTTCACTTCTGCAATGTGGGCTAAGGGATACATAAAGCAAGAAATAATCAGAGGTCAATGTATTCTAAAGAGGTGCTTAGCATGCTTATGGGAAGTTAAACAGGCGAA